AAAACCCGCTTGGATGCAGCCCTGTGCCACGTGCTCTAGGTGACCCTGCGTGAGCAGGGGGGTTGGACTCGATGACCTCTGAGGTCCCTTCCAACCTTCGGCATTCTATGATTCTATGATTCTATGATTCTATATTAAACTACTTGTATATATTTTATTAATCCTTATAAGGGACCTACTGCATTCCAGGGTCCATCTTTAAAGCTACAAGATGATTCTAAAATAATTGTAATGAAATTAATTATTTCAGATATGCTAGCCACCATAAAGCTATCAACAACATGTTATGCAAAATAAGAGCTACTGTCATCATTAATTATTCCTTATTATAACTAACTACTGGCATGCTTAATTGCCTGCACAAAGCAGAGTCAACTAGTACAAGTAACCTACATAGATGTCACTTCATAAAGAAATTGCAATTGCATGATATTAATTTCTGAATTTAGTGTTTAGTGTAACTGTTTGTTATGTGTGTGAGCTCATAAACTTGTGCCTAACTGCAAGCCTTTTGGGGCTGTACGTGCACCAAACCTAACGCTAGGCCATGCAGTCGTGGGCGATGCTCCAAGATGCGCCCCGCGCTTGCAGCCGCAGAGCAGTATCTGCCCAAAGTGTGTCAGTGATTGCAGTGACGGGGAACAGGACTGCTTAGGTTCAGCTGCTTCTCTGGGGGTTATGTATAGAGAGCCAAATTTACAAATACAGCCTTATGGTTTTGAAATGTAATTATCTAACGCTCTGCCATCTGCAACAGTGCCACATTTTCTTTCGTCTATTCGTTACATGGAAAGGTCTTTAGATTTCAAGTATCACTTTCCCTGCTCAGGGTTACATAGAGAATGCAGCTTTTTTTGTAAACTCATGCATAAAGTTCTATGTATAGCCATATATATCATAAACCATATGGGTAAATCACTGAGATGATTTATCACTAAAGAACAATACAGTTTTGTTAAAGAAAACAACCAAGGGCAGTTGAAAACCTGAAAATTCATCGTCAAAATTATGCTTTTATAAACACAACCAAATCCTTGTGAAAGATGGAAATATAGTGTGCAAGGGCCACGTGCTGATCGTCTTCTGGTTGCTTAGCAAAAGGCAGTTCTGGCTTCACTGGAATAATTTTTCTGTCATTCCATGCTCACCACCCACTTAGGCCCTTGAATAATATAAGAAACAAAAATGCACTGCACCTCACCTGCTAGTCTTTCTTGGCTGCCAAGTGTCTCTCAGACATTTGTCTATATTAGCATGGCTATATTATCACAGTTATAGTAGCCTCATTTGGGAACCTTATCCATTGCTCCTGGGCACTTAATCAAGACAATTATAATCTGACTAGCAGGAATTCATTGATTTTCATATTAGTCAATATGAAGATTACAGGGCAAAGCATTGCACAATGCCATCTTTTGGTTTCCAATCACATAGATGGTGATTTGAACCCAGGAATGAGGAAGAAAATTAATTTATACATTTTACAATGTACAATACACAATTTGTACAATATACAATATACAATTTATACAAAAGACCTTGGGACAGGACAATCTTCCTGCTGTGCACAAAATAAATGCCAGCATTCCCTGATAGAGCGGTGAATGCCAAATGAGACTCTCTTTCTCAAGTAAATCTCAAAAGGCTTCAACGGTCTGTTTTTAGCCATAGAAATAAGTACCCAGCTCTACTGTTATTCACCCATCATATACCCCTCAAGTACATTGATACATGCAAAGCCCAGGCAGATTTTATTTCTTTGCTCTGCATTACCTAAGACCTGACTCACTTTTCTATTGGCACTGGAGAATTTCTTGCACATCTGTGTTCATGGTCTTTGCATAACTGTCAGATTTCCTGGATTATTTCATTGACTTTAATGCAAGTGGTTTGTGCATTAATATTATCATTTGTGTGCTTTTGGCATTTGCTTGCCGGAAAGTTCTGTTGCAGGGAGTACTGTGAGGATGGCCCAGTCAGGGTGAATCAGGATGCATTGGTGGTGGTGGATAAGAGCTAAATTTGATTGCAGTAAGTGAAGAGTAATGGGTAGGAAGTTTGGGGAGGAACGGGGGATGGATCTACTGAAGTGAATCCTTGCTTGCCAAGGACTCAGAGGGGCAATTTGAAAAATCAAATATCTTGCTCTTACTTCAAAAAAAAATTCTGTGAGCATCATAGTATTTATCTCATTTGTTTCATCTCTTTTAGAAGAGAGTCTGTAGATTAATTAGGAGTTGTTTTCAAAAAGCCTTTTGAATATGAAAAGTGTTTTCCTTTATTGTTATCAGTTGGTCTTGCAAGTAATAAAAACTGTACCAATTTGAGCTCAAGAAAAGAAAATGTCTAAGAAAATCAATCCTGGCCTGCTTGGAATCACTTTGAGGCTTCTTTTTGGACAAAGAAGATGTCCTGTAGCTTATTCCCTGGACCAGGGAGGCTTTGCAGAGACTTGACAGATCCTTCCCATAGATGGTTTGATGGTTTCTTCTTGCTCCTTTTCTCTGAGATGTAGAGAACGGTGAGAGACTGAAGGCCTCTCTTGCTTCCCTCACGTTTCTCCCAGAATCTCGCTGCAAGACCACAGTGTATTCTCTGATTTCTTTCCTTCTCTCTCGTCACGTGTATTCGCTCTATTCTTGATGCGCTGTCAGAGCCCTGTGCTGTTAACTCGCTGCTCTTCCATGCTACGCGAGATCCCGAGTTTCAGTTTGGTAACAGCTCTCTTCCCATTTCGACAAGACAAGATCCTCACAGTTTTAGATTGCAAGGCAACAGATTTCACAGCTGCTTTGGCAATTACTGCAGTTTAAAAAGAATTGCTTTTTGTTACATTGTTTGCTTTTAAATGAAACTGCTGCTTTATTGGTCTTATTTGCATGTTCAAAAATTTTTGTCTGTGATTGTGTCTGAAAATTAGAAAACATGAACAGCAAGATTTTCTTGCAACACCAAAAGCTCAATTTAAAGGGGAAAAAAAAAAAGGCCTAAGATACACTGCAAGCCTGGGGGTAGGCAGTTTTCTACCTAGCTTCTCATGAGTGCTTTCTCATGAGATTGTTTGGATTTGAATCAGTCAATGAAAATGTATCAGGAATCTTTTTAGACCACTCCAACCTCATCAGAGTAGCTGTAGAATAACCTCCCTGCTTGAGTGATATCCCATTTATCTTTTTAAGTAATCTGTGGCTACATTTCAGGTTTTGCCAATCACTGAGGCATTAGCAAGCCCCACTACATTAACTTGTTCCTTTCAGAGAATATTTCTGCTGAGATGAAACCCGATGTGGATCTAATGCACGGAAAAGAGGGTGGGGAAAGGAAGACAAAATGCTCCTAAAATGTCCACCAAGGAAAACGTCATTGAAATCAAATCTGACTGTGTGCTTTCTCTGAGAGAGATAGTGGGAGTTTTGCAGTTGAGATGTAAATAAAGGAGCTTGCTCAGATGCTGGCAATGGTCTGAGACAGGGTGGGGATTTCAAGGAGGACTTTCCAGCCCTGCCATTCTGGGAGCCCTTCTGGGAGCAGCAAGGTTCTGTTGCTGCAGCTTGATGGCTGCTCATCCAAGGGTGTAAAATCGGAGCTTTATCAGAGCTTTTAATCAAAGCTAAATCAGAGCTTTATAAATTTACTGTAAATCTTTCATTTTTGTAGAGCAAAAGAGAATGTGTTTTAAATGGGCAAGAATGTTATTTTATTTGACTTTACATTATTTGTTTTGTTGTTTGTAGTCAACTGGCCTAGAAAGTATAGGGTAGGAATAAGGCCTAGAGCTTCATTAGTCCCCAGGACAAACTATGAATAAAGTATATTCTTAGAGAGTGTATTTACTCAGGTTCTTCCTGCTTCTCACTGTTGCAGACCTTAAAGAAATTAGTAGAATGTCTTAATTCTTGTTTTTGAACCCAAATAATATACATTAAGATTATGTAATACTTTTACATTATAAACAAGCCACATTGTGTTATATTTGTATTTTAAAACCTTTCAATGCACTTTTGCAAGCTCTTTACTCACTAATGACTTTTTTTTTTTTTTTTTCCACATCACCAGGAGTCTTTAATGACTGGAAAACTCAATGGATCATGTTTTTATAATCTAAGCTATTTTTATATTGACTGTGCGGTTAACACATGGAGGAGCTGTAAGTAAATGCATGATGAATTGGATTGCGACAGTCTGGAGGAAAGCAAAGTAATAATTTCATTTCTGTGGTGATTTGTGAAGCTTGTGGTACAATGCCAGAAAGACTAACGGAAATGCTTATGGATACATGGACTCCATTAATAATATTATGGATTACTCTCCTTCCTTCCATTTATATGGCTCCGATGAATCAATCTCAAATATTACCAAGTGGATCCAGTACAGAACTAAAGAGGCTAACTGAAGAACAGAGAGTTTTGAATCGTTCCAAGAGAGGCTGGGTTTGGAATCAAATGTTTGTATTAGAAGAATTTTCTGGACCTGAACCAATACTAGTTGGCCGGGTAAGGCAAGATTTGTTATTTCTCTGAATATGCAAATAGAGAGTATGTGAAGGTCTTCAGTCACTTGGATTATTCTAAACTGTTCAAATTTGAGATGCTCTGTCATTCTGAAATTCCTCTCTAATGTCTATAAACTTGTGCTTTAAATAGATGACTTTCTAGGGATTTGATTTTGTGGTTAACTACAGTGGGAAACTATGGGAAAGGCCGGGACTTCAGGGAATGAGATAAACTTCTGAACTTGCTGTCTACTAAACTTACTCATATTCCATTTTACAGCAGAAGTATAGGAGCATGTGCACATCCATATCTGAATATAATTAGTTCTCGTACTTTGTCAGCTGAAGATTCTTCACCAAAGCAGCTTTTGTAAAAATGATCCTGTTTATGTTCATTCAAAAAGAGTGCAATACTTACAGGTCATTTTCCACCTCCAGCCTGACTACACATAAGCATTTTATGCTCCAGGAATCTGCAAAAATAAAAAAAATGAAAACACATTAAAAGAAAGTGTGGCAAATTTGAAGTAGCTAGCCTGTATACTTTTAGAGAGATTTTGATGTGTATGTATATAAACAATATTATTGCCATATTATTTTATAGTCTACTTTCAAAGTTAGGAAGATGAAAATAGCACAGGGAAAATTACCGTGTTTTCATGTGTGCTCTAGCTTGTCTTTTGCCTTACCCTTTTGATTCCTGCTAGGAATTAGCTTATTTTGTGGCTCTGTTTTACCCTGAACCATTGAATCACTATTTCTAAAAAGAGATCATGGGTCATCGTATTATCAACAAACTTGGCTTGGTAAAGAAGTAACTGCTCCTAAATGCATGTTTGACTTTAAAGTTAGTAGTCGGGAACGCAGGGCATCTCCTTCATGAGACTGCAGTTTCCTTTGTTTATTCAAAGGGACTATTATTATTGCTATGTTTCTTAGCTGTTCAAATTGTGCAAAAAAAAAGTGAGAACAGATATCATGGATGTCATTTAATCTCAGGATGACTTTAGAAATTCTGCATAGTATATGACATAATATACAGGAGTGGCAATGGCCACTCTGTAAAGAGAAATCTGTGGTTTATTATACAACTCAGACTTAAGTATTCTTGTAGTCATTGTCTGTGTTTATCACCCTCCTTACTTTTTGGCTTATTTTTCTTTCCTGAGGTTGCTATAGGCACTTTCAAACTCCGTTGTAGTCATTGGGAATAGAGGTGCTCGGCATCTTTCAGAGCTGCTCTTAGCCCTTCCTGACTTGAAAGCAGCAGCTCCCTCTTTCATGGTTCTTGGCAATCCTTACTCTCAAAACTTGAAGGTGTGCGGAATGTCACAAGGAAAATGCGCTCCTCCTTCTCAAAGCTGGGCTGTGACATTTTTGGTTGCTCTCATCCTCATTGGTTTCTTATCCATTGCAATTTAAAAATAACCTCCTTTTCAGAATTCATGGTAGATTTGCACTCTCTTGCCTAGTTCCTCCTCATCTCTTTCTTTTTTCTTTTCTTTTTTTTTTACTTGAATTCTTCTTTCAACCTTTCCATTTTACCCCCTGCCAATGGCTTTCGCACAGCTGGAGGACTCCTTCATTCTGTGGCCTTATTAAGTGTTTTTGTGCCATACGACATATGATCATTTTGGCCATACATTCGAATGAATGAATGGCACTCAGTAGAATATTTTACAGCAAGTTACTGTAAAAAGACTTAAAACTGTGGAGAGAATGGTACCACACAAGTAGGCTGCTTCAGTTTTGGGGCCAGATCTGCTTTGTGTAGTTATACGGGTAGTGTGGTTCTTGCTCTCATGTTACACCTTTAAAGTACAGGCATAATCTCCAAACAAGTGCAATACTTGACAGCTCAGCGACATCAAAGGGAACATTCTTGAGGAAAATCTAATTGTATGGATCTGACTTGTTGTTTTGCCTGATCTTGCACTATTGTAGGGTGTTAGCTGGTGTTTTTCTCATAGTAGTATATGTATTGTACAAACAGATAATTAGAAACTTTAGGTAAGTGAAGCAGAAGTTGATATGTATTTTCTATATGTGTATAAATACACTTTTCTAGAAACCTACAAAATAATGAGCCTAGTTTTGTTCACAATGCACAAAGGCAGTTTTACAGCCCAAGATTTACATCTCTTTTTCTTTATTTTTGCTTCATCCATACTAACAGCAGTGCACCTTGCCAGCTTGTTGCACCTTCCCGAGCATCCCCTACCTCAGCCCAGCGGTGCAGATTCAGGGACGCTGTGGGTCCCTGTGGATGGGAGTAGCTAGGCAGAACCTTTGCTCCTCTGCTGCCCCTTTTTGCGCTCTGCAGCAGATGCACTGCAAAATCAGCACACAGAGGGAACATAAAAGAGCATAAAGATCACCAAGTTTTTCAGTTTTTCTTATTCTCTGACCACTAAATGAATCAGTAATTAAGCCCAGACACAAAAGAACCACTAATAGTTCTTTAGATCTGTGCCATTTCTGTGGTACTTCTCTTGGAGGACTTCCCAACATCTCGCAGAACTTCTGAGGCTGCTCTCCAGCTACCTCTTCCTAGTCCCAAGGCCCCATTTTGCAGTGATGTTCTCCCTGCTGAGAGATCCATCAAATGGGCTGAGCTGGGAGGAGCACCCTGGTGTTGGCAGCACCTGAGGAGCTGGTGGCACCAGCTGCTGTGCAGGTGTCACTGATGGAAGGGCTGCGAGTTGCTCTGAAAAGCCAGCAAAGGGGAGAAAACAACCCAGGGGTAGCTATTGAGCCTTAGGAGGAGTGTGGTCGTTTCAGCTTTTTTGCAATCTCAGGTAGTTTTTTTTTTTTTTTTTTTTTTTTTTTTTTTTTTTTTTTTTTTTTTTTTTTTTTTTTTTTTTTTTTTTTTTTTTTTTAACATTGATTGTGGAGCTTTTCCTTCCTTCTTTCTGTCTCATGTGGCTTGCAAATTGTGACTCTTACGTGTAAATTCTTGTAGGCGGCTTCTGAGGTCGGGGAGCTTGGCAGCTCCTGCCCTAGAGACTGATGAGGATTTTTGCCTTGTTATGTGGGGTTTAGGATCAGGCCTTTAGAGGATAAATATTTTTTCTATAGGAGGAGCAACAGAGAGCTATGATGTTTTCAGCCTGGCGCTTCAGGCTGTGCTGCTGCAAAAATGGAACCTGCAAATGCAGAGAGCACTTATAAATAGCTTCAAGCTGTATGTTCTGCAAAATACATGCTTTATGCAGGCTTTGATTTCCCTGCCAACATACATTTTATCCCTTAACAAGGAAATGGTGAAATCTCACTGCTTTAAGTTTGCAAATAGTTTTATGAACTCTGAGGGATACATATATGCAAAGCAAACAAGGTTTTCAATTATAAAAAACTTTCTGTATGTTTTCCTTGTTCCGGTATTGAGCTTGTGATTATGATGGGGCTGCTGAAAATACTGTTCTACTGACTGATAAAAACAGAATTGTGTGCAGCTCTAAGGATCTCATTACTTCAGGGATGAATTATGTACTATTTCACTAAGTGGAAGAAATCATTGTGAAAAGTAAGTGTAGTAAAGCCTTTCAGAGGCTATTATATCATCCCATGTTCACGCATTCTTAAAGGTTTCATACTTAAAACTATAGAACTCCATGGTATACACTTTCCCTCTGTTTCCTTCTGTTAATTTTTTTTTTACTCTCTGATTTAAATATGTCCCATAAAATATTTAAGACTTGACGTGTTGCAAAGTCAACATCAATTTCTGAACCCTATGTTTTTGTTGGCTTGCAACTGAGGTTATATACTATAATTTTTATAAAATAATGCATTTCAGCTTCTGGGAACTTATTTTTCTACTCTAATTTTAACAGAAATTGCTAATTGCCCCTGCCTTTTGCTTGCTTCTGCAGGAGGAGAGATGACTGTACTTCACACTGTGTCCCTGTTTACATGGTCTAAATCCTGCTCTGTCAGCAGGAGTCGAAGTAGCTCTGAAAAAATCTTTGTAACCAAGTATTGCTGAAAAAGCCACTAAATAGTGTACTCCATTTTATATAGGCTTGATAAAAGCAGAGTTTTTAAATTAATATTCCCAAGTCTGCACAAATCTCATTTGTTTCTTTTTAACTACAAACTCAACAAACTCAAAAAAAAAAGAAATCTGGAATGCCACCAACTTGAGTACAAACAATTTGATTAAAGTGAGCCAAGAGCATTTATGAATTTTTAATGCAATGTAAAAATCATTTAACTTATTAGCTTATTCTGCTAATGAACAAGAATATACCTATATTGAGAATCTCAGGTCACATTTCTGTGCATTTCTGGGAATGTAGCTGACAAGGTTTGAATACTTTCATGATTCCTGTCCTCCAGTCTAGGGGCATGCTATAAGCATAATTTGAGTAGGGTTATGATACAGAACACCTGGATATCAGCCTACACAGCTGGCCTGATGATACCTCTGAAGAGCCCTTTCATCAGAGAGCAGAGCTGCCTGTGCTGCCTTCTCCCTTTCTGCTTCGTGCTGCTGGAGCAGGAGATGGAGGACGTGGCACGTCCGAGCGTGGAGCACACGGGGCTAAGGCAGTCTGAAGGCAGCCTCTTTCTGAAGCCTCCATAGGCTGCAAGCCACAAAACACCAGCCAGCCTCTGAGCCATCTGCACTTTCTTTATTAAAACGG